TTTTTAAGTTTTTGAACACAAAAAAGAACCAGGTTCAGAGGATATACTAGAAGCAATATCACTGAACAATAATTATCTTAAGAAATTAAAAACATTGCCCTTGAAAAGCATGAATTTTGCATTTCTGCTGCTTCTGACTTCTGAGTAAAGTATTAAATTATTTATCATTTTATTCTATAATTAAATTTCAATAAAATAATAATATTACCTTAATTATGATTTTCAACACCGATGTGAAATAGTTATTTGTACAACTAGAGGAAAAAGTGGAACGAGAAAAACACTTTCTTCTCAAGTCTTATACATAATTTTTTTCTGAAAGTAGGTACAATAAAAATTGAAAAATTATCGTATGCAATAATGAAGTTTGACACATAGCAATCTAGATAGGGGTATGTTTCAATTTTAAATGTCATTATTTAGATTAACGCAGCAATTGTTTTTTACTTTCCTCACTAGCGAGGAAAATCACATTTTCTTCACCCTTTTTAGATACGAAAGTGGTTATATCTAAAGTAGTTTCAGAAAATTGTACTTTAATTGCTTAAAACAATTTCTGTGTTTTCCCAAGATATTGTTGGTAGTAGGTATTTCTGAACGTGGTTTTTTATTTTTTTAAGAATAGTATACCGTGTGTCCCAGGGAGAACGCACCATAGAAAAATAGGATTAATGATTAATGTATTTTTTCGCGAAGGATCCACGAGGCCTTTGATATGTATTTGAAGTTAGCGTACAACGTACGTTATGCGCTTGCCTGATGCTAGAAAGAGATTGGAGTGGTACGTTGAACATTAATTTTAAAGTCCTCGTGGATCCTTCGTGAAAAAATACTTTGCCGTTTCTCTATGGAACGTTCTACCTGGAACCTGGGATACACTGTATTATACATATACCAAGGTAGAGAAGTCTAGTATTATTGCATAATAGACTACCGTGGTTTATGTATACAGGGTGGTGACTTGCGTAACGCATCATAGGGATTTCACTGTAAAATTCATAACATGCGATTATTGGCTCCCCAAATTATTTTAAGGCAAAAATGTATTACGGTTTTTTGTAGAAAAAATTTTTTTACGTCAATCAACCGTATTAGTTTTCAATTTTTTGCATAATAAAGACGGAAAATTGGAAAAATAAAACCCCCATCTTTAATCTGTGATGCCATGGAATTTTATAATACAAAAACTACCCCAATATCCGTCATGCCATGGAATGTCTGCTATAAAACAAATCAAATTCTATCAAAAAGTATTATACAGTGTGGAAAGCAATGGGGTATACAAGAGGGAATTTTTTATAAATATTGATTTATGAAAAAAAATTATTCTTCATGATATTTTTTGCTTGCTTTGAAAGTACCAATAACGTTAGTATCAATTATTAGGTATCGGCTTCCAGACACTCATTTAGGTTACAATCATTTATTTCTAAGTCAAATTTTCGTGACTGGTTAGTTTGACTTAGAAATAAATGATTGTAACCTAAATGAGTGTCTGGAAGCCGATACCCAATAATTGATACTAACGTGTAGTAACGTAACGGCAAGTACTCCTTGTGGTGAGTACCAATAACGTTTAAAGAAAGACCAAATTGCTAAAAACGGTTTCCTAATTTAACAATTTACAATAAATGTTCATTAACAATACAGTAACCAAGTCGATCATAAAATCCATTTCGAATTGCCAATAATCGCATGTTATGAATTTTCCATTGAAATCCCCATGATGCGTTACGCAAATCATCACCCTGTATGTTTCTCAGTACAAGTACTTGAAGTCCTCTAACTAAATTAACAGACCATATTGTTAAAACGGTTTGACAGTTTTTTGTTTATTAATTTTATATGTCAATTCATTTCTTGGAAGTAAAAGTCAAGCAGACAGTATTTTGTTTTGTCACTGACACACTTTTAAAGAGCAATTTGGTTTGAATCTTTTCAAAATGTGACAGTTTCAAGTATGTAATTTCTCTGAAAATAAAGGAAGTTAACATTATTCATCTTGAAAAACTAAACTCTAAACGTTTATTGAGCAAAATTTCGGGGGGTGGTCTCTGAAAGTGGCAGCGTGACAGTTCCCATTATTGGCTACTAGTCGATAATGATTACCTTATAAACCACTTTCAAAAGCTGCCGAGAAAGCTTTCGTGATTGATTTATTTTTTATTTATTTTGTTTATTTATTTATTGTCCCTCTTGTTCTGGGCCCCCCACAGGCTTTCGCCCAATTACAGAGTGACCCGCATAATGCTTTAATTAACAATAGCTACATTTATAACAGCCTTGAAATGATTTGAGTTATAACAGTAAAAATATTATTTACCACTCACATATATACAATCTATAACAACACGAACTATTTATTACTTAGGCGTTTTGGAACTGTCTTGAAACGCGATTCGATGTACTTATATAGCAAGCTCGAGTGTTCTCGCGACTCGAAGTCTATCGGGATTTCTGGAATATTTGCTAAAATTTTACTGAAGATCTAGAATGCCTTAGCAAGAATCAATGTTTTAAAATCGCCACATGGATTTATTTCTTTCCTGTACCATGTAAAAAATTATCCTGGAATACTTTGTGAACAATTGTTAAAAGGACGGGAAAGAAGTAAAAATAGTTAGAAACTAAAAGCGACAACGAAACTAATATTGTTATAGGGGAAAAATCCCTCAACAGTAGGTAGGAAATTGGAGGGATCTTTATAAATTTGTTTTTTCATCGGAATCAGTTTTGCTTCTGATTTGTTTGAATTCAAGTACTGTCCAGCACAATGACAACCACGGAAACAAAAATGATCTTTTACTATAGTGCTAAATCGCTGAATTATTTGGGATTGAAACGCTAATAATTTACACTTTAAACGCAATCTGATTTTGTTTTACTGTGACACATTAAATCAAAGATGACTTCTGAATCTGGTTTCTTTATATTGAGATCTAAATGGAATTCGACTTAATTCCACAAAACAAAAAGTCTGAAAAGACTGGTCACAAATTCAGGGATTTCTTTTGATAATACAAATAGACAAAACAATAATTTTACCCAAAATCGTCATAAAACCTTAATTTTCATGCCTACTTTATTTCAAGAAAGTGTTAGTTTCCATGACGGAGGCAGACCAGTTTACTTTTCCTGCCGCCTGTCACTTTACCGGCTGCACCTGTCAGTTTACCGGCCGCACTTGTCACTTTACCTGCCGCACCTGTCACATTGCTAAATGTCTATATTGACTCCTGTCATCATTGAGAGATTGGCATTAATCAAAAGGTCTATATGAAAATTGAAATTTTATGTTATAATACGATTTCGGGTAAAATTTAATACCAAAATCGTCAGTAAAATGACATTACTTGACTCGGAAATTAAAGTACTCGGTCCCAAAGGGGTCTTGTACTTCAATATTTCCTCGCCAATAATGTGTCATTTTCCTGACTTTTATGTAATAGTTATTTACATAATAAGTCATGAAAGTGGTCGTTTACATGACGCGGAGGCTTATTGAAAAGTACGAGGACGCGCATAATTTTCAACAACCTTATGATTTCTCATTTAAAGTTCAAATTTAATAGTAATAGGTCAAAATTGTTTCTTTTTCTATAGCCGTCGATTTAAATTTACAAAAATCATACAACAATTTTATAACTAACCTTATTTCCTATGCGTCTTTTTCGATGCGGAACTCTGGGATTCTTACAGCTGACGTCGTTGACTCAGTGCTCTGGGGTAGTTACCCGGTGAATTCATTTTCATGTACACGACATGAGATTATCTCCAAGAACAGCTTTTGGGAATTTGTGATCGATGTTGAAATACAGGTTTCGGTGTTAATTATCCTGGTCAGTACAAATTTGGATGACAAAAAAAACAAGCATTGACATAAACCCAATTTTAAGGGGCTGTTCTTGAAAGGTGGTTTGGTGTTTAGGAAATCTCTTTAGTAAACTTTTCACACCGAGTGCTTTGAGCTTTTTAGCGGCACCAGAATGAACTTGAATATTATTGGACTTTGCTAACAGTTTTCTTTATCGCAATTTCGTTTTACAGAATTGAAAGTGACTTTATAAAGTTTGTTTATAAATACGAACGGTAAAACGGAAAATAAAACTAATGCCGAATCAAAAAAATTTTTTGCGCATGCGCAATCCGATTACATATATTGATAGGCCAAAACTCAATATCTATAGAATATTGTGTATAACTCTCTCCAAGAAAGATTGCCGGTCACAGCACACCTTGTGTCAATCTATGTTTTTTTTAAGATGCGAGCGACTTCCGGAATAGGATCGTGGCAATGTTGAAAAGACTTTTCGTTCAACATTGGCACGATCGTATCCCGGAAGTCGCTCACATCCTTAGAAAAACACAGATTGTAGACCGGGATCAGGTCTTCAGTGACCGGCAATCTTTCCTGGCGAGAGGTTTAAACAATTTGAAGTTAGTATTAGACGCAAATCTGCGGTTTAAAAATCACATATATTGTACAGTGTGGTTTTTTTAAAATTTTTTGTGAAATTTTTAACCCTCAGCTCAAAATACGAGTACAGTCGCAAGTAAAATGATTAACTTAATCCTTTAATTTCACCACACCGTATAAATACTGAACTGAGCGTAAAGAAATTACTACAAGTGTACAGCCAATAACCAGAGCAAATGTTAATTTTTGGTTTGCAATATCGATACGAGAGCAAACTTCGTTTGCCATTGACGAAGGTAACTTAAAGTAGTTTAAATAGACTGAATAATAGGCCACTTCCTGCCTAGCACAAGTAAACTAAAACCGTTTGAAAGCATCTCCAACAATAAGCCGTATTTTGGCCTGAAGTTCCATTCATAAAATCGAGCCCACCCTCTGGCGCACTTGCAAAGTTAAAGAATGCGACTAAATGAACTCGCAATTTACTACGCTTCTCTTTTCTCTTTTAACGTAGTACGTTTTTACAATATTCTAAAGTAATTTTAGTATAAGGGGCAGGTGTTACGAGCGATGACAAGATGCACACTTTTTACGTTGATTTATTCGTATTGTTTCGCCCCTAAGTTACATGGGAACCGATAATTTTGTCTGTAATTTGTCGATGTGGTCCATCTTTTGCAGGAAATTCTTGAAAGCCTTTGAGTTACTAATTTTACATCGGTATTGTTCCCATTCGTCCGAGTCTTCATCTTCATTGGCCGTCGTACTCGTTTCGTTACAGGGCCGATCGTCAGGGTAACTATATTCGACATCACTTTCGCTTATCGATTTTAAAGTGCTTATCTTTAGAAAAAAAGTTACTAGAAAACCTTCTCTATCAACGCGTAACCTACCTCTCTAAACGGTACTCCTCGACTCACCTCTCTCATTAGCTTCGCAAAATTGCGCGACTCTAAAGAGACTTCGTCACTGGACGACTCGTCCGGTATGCGAAACTTTTCCAACTGCTCATCGGTTAAGTTGCCAGTCTTTAATTTTCCGCTTTTAATCCTTTGTTCCTCCAGAGGACTTTCTGCCTTTGTCAGAATAAAATTCGCACTTTCATTTTCCTTGTCGTTTGACACTTCTTCCTGAAAATTAAAATTTTGTTTCGGAGAGTCCATTCAGATTTTAATTTCTCGAAATCTCGAGAGGAGGGTGTCAGCCAAGTTAGTTTTGGGCGAGTTCTCGGATCATCTTATTCTGTTCGATTTTAAATTTTATGTTGTCGCATCAGTGATGATAAAATATGAAAAGATGACCCTGTCGAAAAGCTGAGTGGAAAATGGCAGCTGGAAGATCAACCCTTCACTCGACACGTTTAACCCTTTCTATTTGGTTTTGGGTATAATTAATTTACCTGACTCTCCTCTTGTATTACAGGTTTGCCTTCCTCAAGCTTCTTTCTCCATTGAGATAGCTGCAACTTGTCCAAGGATTGCTCAAGATTCAACAACCGCATTTGCACCTTCTGTACGTCTTTATGCGACTGATTTAGTTCCTCCAAATCCAATTTCTAAAACCCGATTAAGGTGTAAAACCTTCAAGGTGTCGAAATGGTAGACCTGCTCCTTCGTCGTGGTTTTCGAAGCAATTTCGCGCTCGAGGCGATCTTCAAAGGTGACGATGTGCTCTTTTAACTGTTGGTTTTCTAAGGCTAATGTCCGCGATTTCTTCTGGAATTCGTTCCGTTCGGCTTGGAACCGCTCGACCTCCTTCAGTAAATTCGAAATTGTGACCTGGGTTTCTTCGAGCTTCGCTAAGGTTGTCTTCTTCGATTTGGTGTTAGTCTTAAACTCTTTGGTGGCGGAATCTAGACGCTTTAAAAGGAGAGTTCGTTCAGTGAGCAATTCTTCCAACTGCTGTTTGGCTGCACGATTTTCCTTGTGAGCAAGCATCAGTTGCCTGCACAACTCCCGCTTTTCCCGGGCCATACTTTCTAATTTTCGCGACAGTGAGTTGTGTTCTTTTAAAGAGAGGGCTTGCATCGCGATCATATCATCACGCAGCTTGGAGCACTGCTTCTCCATGTATTTCGACGTCATTTCGCTCTAAAGGGAACCAGTTGAGGCACGTTTTTCAGTTGGTAACACTTACTCTACTGGATCGGACACTTAAATCTGTGAACGTACCGCTTTTCAGAAAAAAATCTTTGTCGCCATCAAGATTTACTGTTGATCGAGAAGCAGCAGTCAGAACTGGAATTTTGCTAACGCTAGATTTTCGATCAGCCTCCTCCACGGTGGAAATCTCTGCACGAGTTTCGCTAAAAAAACATCCTAATTACAGCTCTTCCAGGGGGGTATACATTTACTTATTCTTAGACAGTAGGTACCAGTTCCGAGCTAACTTCAGTCCAATGCATGCCATAATAGTGGTTACAAAGGCAATGGCATTCCAGATGAATAGACACCATCCTATTCCAGACTTTTCTGCGGTAATCTGAATCTCTTCAGCTACACTAACCGATTCAATCACGTCATCTGTCGAAATCGGTGCATCAATCTCCTCGTCATCTAGAAATTTCAATTGTAAAGCGCTCACAATGGGTCAAAGACGTTACCGTTGCTAATACAGTACAACTTGGACAGGGGGTCAACAAAAAAAGTGTCAAACGAACATAATAAAACCCAAAAGACAAAACCGAAGCTAATTAGTTTCTTCCAGTTAACGTACCGCTTGTTTGAAGCCATCCCCCCGAGTCCCTACAACTTAATCTGAATTTGTTGACTTTGACACGAGAATATTACTGTCATCTTTTTTTTTGCGAGCATACAGTCACTTGATGATTACTAGCGCGTGTGACAAAAGCGACAAACCCTCTTGTAAAAGTGAAATAAAGTCAATAATAGACCAATATACTACGCTCGCTGCATTCTTTCCATCTTTAAACGCTTTTAGTACGAGTGACTTTAACCGTAAAATATACCTGGTTTGACGTTTTTGATGGTCAGCTGCCACCTGGCCGTAAATATAGAGTTGTGTAGGTGAGTATAATTCTTATTCAATGAACTGTGATAAAGCAGGAAGTTTTTGTGCCAATTGTATGTCAATGTTAAAGAATGCAAATGGAAAATATCACCAATTAGGTAAATGCAACGCTAACGATTATGAAAATTTGAAAAACTTCATCCCCTTTATGCAGTTTTACAAGAATTATATACAAAAAAAACGGAAGTCGAAGCCCTGCTACCATTCTCAAGTATTGTGTCACTCATGAGTCAAAACAATGGTGCCGAAATGGAAGAAACTAATTTATTAGCTCAATTTTTTCCAACTTTACCTGAGAAATATGACCCATTAATAATTACAGCGTTGCAGAATTTAGGTAAACTAACATTCAGTATAGTCAATCAGAGACTCCTGTTAGAGGAAACTCGATTTTAATGGAATCGCAAAAAGAATGTGGTGTGAAACAGCTTTAAATGGAGTGATCAAGTAATCTAAAAATCCAATATGGCGCCCATTTAACATTAGGAAGTTGGTAAATGTTCCTCAAAAGTGGCCATCTTGAATTTTTTTTACATCAATTCTAAATTAAGCGTATCAAAGACAGTAACTTTTATATAAAACTTTTTTTTATATCTCTTATACTTTCGATGATATAAGACATTCAAGGAAATGACCAATTTTAGTTTTTTTGAATTTACGTCGACCTATGCGACATTTTGAATTTCCATAAGGAAATTTTAAGTAAGCATCCAAAACTGCAAAACATTGCCCATTTAACCAATTATCTATCTTTAATAATAACAAAGTTACCCATGAAATCCCACGCGATCTGGGACACACTGTATATAACATACTGCACTTGAAGGTGCGAACGCACTATAGTTATAATAGAGCAAGTACTGCTGGTAATGTCCGAGATGTTCCGAAATGTTTTGGAGACATTTCTGGGAGAGAGGATAAAGATTTATGAATCAAAGCAGTTGAAGATGAACTCACATCATGGACATCTTCTAGTGAAGCAGAATATGCTGGGTGTGAAGAAGCTATCTGGATAAAGGGAACATTGGACAATTTTGGATATAGCTATAAAACTTAAAATGCGATCATTTATGAGGACAAGAAAGGCATATACATTATACAGGGTGTTTTTTGGGAGCTTTAGTTAAACGCTTCTGGGAAAGTAAACTAGGTACGTTTTTGAAAATTTTTATTTAGGAGTTACTCTGAAGACCGAATCGATGTAAAATATTTTCAAAATGGCCGCACTTCCGGAAACACCGGAAGTAGATAGTAACTTCGTTATTTTAAATGGCAACCCCTATTTTTTATTGCATTTTTGGATTCTACGTGAAATTTCAGTTCTTTTGATACCCACATGTCTATATCTGCCATTTATGGTTTTTAAGTTACTTTGACTTTATGAATAAAATGGCGGATGCAGATGGTACCTTGATAAATGATTACTTGAAAACGGTTGTAGTCTTGGCAACCCATTTTTATCAGTGCATAGAGAATGAATAGAGCTTTCTTTTAGTGTACTTAAAAAAAGTTAAGTTGCGTACAACCGCACCTCCATCATCCAAATTTAAGAAACTTCAAAGTCTATAAACTTAGTTTTTTTAAATGGAATGACCATTGTCTTTGTATCACTTGTGCTTCAACGGTTTGTAGTGCATTTGGGGGTACAACTTTTCCAAAATTCATACAATTTCGTTCCAATGTTCGAAAGAATGTACGGCAAGCATGTGCCGCGATTCTGTCCATTTCACCATAAATAACAATTAAATTCCAAAATAGGTGAAACCACTGCGAGTCATTTTTCGATTTTTGAAAAACTTATGTTAACCTATAACAGTAGGTGACGGATTAGTGTCACTAGAATTGTTTAAATTTCGATTGTTATAAAATCATGGCCGACTAAAAAGAAAATTCGAAAAAAATAGTGTCAATTCAATAAAATGGGAATAAGTCAGCAACTGTTAAAGATAGCTATAGGAACATGTATTGTCAAAATATGCCCATTTCGATTCTTTATCTCATGCAATAGTAAGAAAATGGTCACTCCATTAAAAAAAACTGAGTTTTTAGTCTTTGAAGTTTAATAAATTTGGATCTCCATAGGGGTGGTCGTACGCAACTTAACTTTTTTTAAGTACACTAAAAGAAAGCCCTATTCATTCTCTATGCACTGATAATTTCTTAAAGTCAAAATAACTTCAAAACGATAAATGGCAGATATCGACATGTGGGTATCAAAAGAACTGAAATTTCACGGAGAATCCAAAAATCCAATAAAAAATAAGGGCTCCTATTTAAAATAACGAAGTTACTTCGGTGTTTCCGGAAGTGCGGTCATTTTGAAAATATTTTACATCGATTCGGCCTTCAGAGTAAATCCTAAGTACAACTTTTCAAAAACCTACCTATTTTACTTTCCCAGAAACGTGTAACTAAAGCTCCCAAAAAAACACCCTGTATAATAAACTTCATTTCATAAGGGATTACATAGAGAAAGGGATTATTATTATCAAAGTAGAGCCAATATCAACGAAAGAGCAAATAGCGGATATATTGACCAAGTCTTTGGATGTAGCTCAGTTTGAGAAGTTATTTCCAAGATTGGATTAGTCGGTTGAGAAGATCAGAGCAATCGTTTTTACCACCCCCACGTTAGTAAGGGATTGGGGTAAAAAATGACCCCCCTCCTCCCTTTTTTAAGGGAAATACGTTTTGATACACCAGGAATCCGAATCAAACAAAATTTCGATGATTTCGATCTGTCGGTCCGTCTGTACTCTTATTTCTGACTAAACGGCTTAATCAAGTTTTAAAACTTTAAACCTTAAAAAGTTGATTTTTCAAATGAAACCTGCTTTATTTTTTGGCACTTTCAAATGTGGAAAAATATTCTACATCTATACCTCTTTGTAATGATTTTCGTTTTATTTCAGATTTTCTAAAATTGTGACCGTTGTGCATAATTTTCTTAGGAGGCCTTGAAATAAAACGCGCTATCAGATCTGTCAACAAATATTTTATGGTTATAATTGTTATCATTCGTTATTCATGGTAGTTTATATCACTAAGTATTAAAAAATCCTATTTACTTTAATGAATACAAATTTAAATAAAGATGAAATCACAAACAGAAGCAGGCCATGATAACAAATGAGAAAATAAAAAACAATTGTGAATTGAGGTGTTGTTCTACGTGGCTTCCATTTTTTTCAAAGATAATGGCTTCATCTTATTAACTCGCATTGATAGTCGCCTCTCGAATTCCTACTCCATTTCATCAAAAGCTCTTCTCGCCCTAACTTGCAGTTCTTCACGAGAAACGACTGGCGTAACTTTGTTTTTTATAAAACCCCACACATAAAAGTCCGGTGGCGTTATATCTGGAGATCTAGAAGACCAATAGCGCGGATCTGTAGGCCTAATCTTCAAAAATGTTCAAGTTGAAACCAGTAGCTTTTCCCAGATAATGTTTCCAATGACGGTAAATTATGCATATAACGGTCACAATTTGAGAAAATCTTAAATAAAACGAAAACCATAACAAATAGGTATAGGGCATGTATAATAATAGATCGATGTAGAATTTTTCCCACATTTGAAAGTGCAAAAAAATAAAGCAGGTGTCATTTGAAAAAATCAACTTTTTAAGGTTCATAGTTATTAAACTTGACCATTAATTTCAAAACACCCTGTAGAGGGTTCGATCAAAATTTAAATCATTCGCATGTAGCATCACGTCAGTATTGTTGATTTGGGAAGACTTTTTGAAATTCAAGTCAACGAAGCCATACGTACATACAGGACGCTAAAGAAAAGCAGTCAAACGTCAAAAATCTTGAATAACTTGAAAATCTTTGATGCTAGGTATAGGGAAATGAGGAATCAAACGACGTATATTTTCATGTAGATTTCAAAAAGACAATGAAATATAGGGTGTTATATTTAAAATAAGAAAGTACAACCGGAAGTGAGACGATCATGATAACATTATAGATAGATTATGAAGAACTATGTTGGTATGCAAATTTACAGATTTAAAATTAATGGGAGCCTAAACACTTTTAGGTAACGGTTTGCGTGAAACAGCCATCCCTGGACAAGACGTCTGTGTCCCTACAACATTGGTCACTGATGAATTAGAGTTACCCATACCCGTTTTAACAAACATTAGGAAAATCGGATCTCAAAGCCTTCCCCATACATTTATGTAATAAAATAAATGTATGGGGTAGGCTTTGAGATCCGATTGTCTTAATCTTTGATATAACTCAACCCCATTTAGAGGAACGATGGATCATGTTCAAAAATTAACAATTTTTAATAAAAAATACACATAGGTAAATACCGCTTTTAATTGCAGATCTATATTTCAACAAACACCCTAAATCACAAAGTGGTAAATTTATAAGATTGTGATTATTAATTAATCTTCGTAATACAACACGTTTATACAGGGTGGTGCCTAGCGCAACGCAGCATAGGGATTTCAATGGTAATTGCTTTATAGTCAATTACTAGCTCCCCTAATTATTTTAGAGCAAAAGTCTAAATAAGTTTTTTTAGAGAAAAAAATACTGCATCTGTTCATACTTTTAGTTATAATTTTCCATTTTTCAAAACCGTAGAAATCGACAAAATAAAAAATTACATTTTTATAAATCAGTGATGCTTTGGAATCTTTTAACAAACTACAAGCGCATCGCATGTAAGTTATCGTTGTTTGACGTCGAACGATTTTCATATTTAATTCTGTTACAACTATCCGATGCAAGAAAAAGCGGCAATTGGGTAATGTTTTTTTAGAGAATGTA